AGACTAGCCGCTATATATATATATCTTAATAATATTAGTTCAACTTCTAGAGGAAGAACTATTAATTTAGAGGTAGTCTACTCGTATTATTAGAAACGTCTTATCGGACTGTACCCCACCTACCTCCGACTAGTAAAAGTATTCTTTCGAAAATTTCGCTAAGATTCCCCGTAAAATATAGGTATTACATTCTTTCATGACTTGACATACGACGGCCTAGACTCACACTCATTTACTAGGCATTTTACAACGTACTTTATAGCGTACCTTATAGGGCATTTAGCGGCACGGTCGTATATTGTACTTAATTAAGCGATTCGATTAAGTGATTAATTAATTTATATTAATCTATACATTTATAATCTACGTAATTTTTATTATAAAATTGTATACTCTAACTACTAGCGAGTTTCCTTTATTAGGCTTAAGTACTAGCTTAAGTACTAGTTAGCGTACTAGTAGTGTAGCTTCCTCTATCTTATATAGAGCTGCCTCCTCTCCCTCCTCTCTATATACTACTATAAGCGCAACTTCGTCCTCTACTTTGTATATTAATTTAAGATTGGCGGTAATCGGCCTTATCCTCTGCCTCTAAATTAACCCCCTCCCAACTAAATACTATTTATTATATATTTGGCCGTACTTATATCGATACCGTAGGATTACGACCGCGGGATAGTCTTAATACCGGGCGTCGGCCGCGAGTACGAGGGGGTTATAATACTTGTACATACGCTAGCGCCGTCGATAGAGGAGGTTGTATAGTAATAGGTATAGTAGATCGGGGAATTCGAAGATTGGGCGCAAATAGCGTATTAATACGAGGGCGGCCTCTTTAGTGTTTAATACAATTAAAGTCGTAGTATCGTAGATACTAGTTATTCTTAATAAGGCTCCTCTCTAGCTATTAATATAAGTGAAAGTCTTTTTTGTTTAGAGTTAGAGGGTTAGTACGGTTAAGAAGTCGCTTTAGAAGTATATAAGAATAGAGTATACTATATTACTAGGTAAAAGAGTATATATAAGGCGGTAGATTATCGGGGTAGGGGTTGTAGTTAGTCGGTACTACTCCTAGAACAATACAATATTAATTTAAAACTATATTTAGAATTCTCTAATAAACGTTATAAAGCGTTATATTTATTTAATATTTATTTATAAATTTACGTTTAAGGCGGGCTTTTTAGTTTTATAGTAATTCTATAATTGAAGTTTCTATAGCCTTGATTATTTCGAAAGATTAGGTAATAATATAATTAATAAGGTTATTACCTATATTGGAAGGATAATTAATATATAGGGTTTAGTATAGGAGGTAGTATAATATATATATTTGGGGATTATTATTTACCTATAACGATGAATCCTTTTAGGTAATAATTGATTAACTTAATTAGCAATATAGTCCTAATATTAAAATTAAGTTGTTTATTAGTATAATACACTAACCAATCCTCCTTTATTAGTATTAAAGTATATTTAATATAATAGAAGATCTCGTCTTACTACGTAAAGAAGTTCGTAAGTTTCTCGTAAGTAGTATAAAAGTCGTTAACCGTAGTAGTATAAATAATATATACCTAAAGATTATATAATCCCTACCTTAAATATTCTACGAAAGGTAGAGCGGGACTAATATAATTATTACTATTAGCAATACAATTTAAACGTTTAATAATAGTATAATTTAAGGGATTAACCTTATTTTCATTAATATCGATATTATTATTCTAGGAGGGCCGGTTCTACCTAGCCTCTTATACCTATTAATTAATAGCAATTATTCGGGTAATAACGGTAGTAGCTGTTTTACTCTATTTCTCCTTAACCTTCTTAACGAAGTTTTTATTAATATAAAAGATATAGAGTTGGGACTTTACTTAGGGATAAACCTTCTTAATAAAAATTCGCATTGCAGTATTAAAATCGGTAATAGTAATAAGAGGGGGGCTAGCGCTAATATATTGACGATAAATATTAATTTGTACTATTAGCTATTCGAATCCCTCTTACATTTCAATATTAATAAGGCTAAAAGCGTAGCTAAAAATATAATTAAAACTATTCTTACCAATAACTTAAAAGAAGAAGAGTCCCTTATTATTAGTCTTATATATATTATCATATATCTAAACTTAGGGGTTGAGCTTCCATTACTCCTTACACTATAGATGAGTCTAAAAAAGACTATATAGTTTAGTATATTTATTATTAACCTATTTAATAGTATATTAAACGCTCCATTTATTAAGTTCTTTGAAAATTGCTTAAAAGGGATTATAACTAGTAGTTGCCTCCCTCTTTAAAGTGTAATAAAGGTTCTTAAACTATCTTTTAGTAAAGACAAGGCCGGGGAACTTTGCGCATACGTCCTTAGCAATTTTGCGATTTATAATAGCGGATCTAATAAAGTATATGCGCACGAAAGCCTTATACTCATCTTTGAAGATACTACGGATTTGAGGGATGATACCGGGGGGGTGATTGTAATAATCCTCTTTTAATATAAAAGTCCATTTACGACCGTATACTACCAGCGACTTGGTATACCCTTTTTAAGGGCAATTTCTTTTATTGGTTAAAATTAATTAAGAATATTCTTTACTATAGCGAATAGGGCTAAGTGAATATTGAAAGTTAATTCTAATCGGACTAGAGCCGTCGGTAGTGTAGTTGGAAGAGCGTATTTTAATGTAACTATAGCCTTAAAATGCGCTCTATTAATGTAGTAATATTTCGAGACTCTTAAAGGTATTGTACTGGGTCGTAAGTATAGGGATTGTAATAGGTTAGGGATTAATAACTTTATTACCGTCTTTATTATCGTCGTTAAATTCGCTATTGCTAGAGTTGCTAAATTCGCTAGAATCGCTGGAATCGCTACTTAAAGGAGTCTTATACAATTCGATTTTAATTTAGGCAAATATAAGCTCGATTAGGGTAATACTCGTTAGTTAATTAGAATTACCCACACTACGGTCGCACACGGGTTAGGTCGCTATATTGGTTATCTATATTACGGTTAGCTGGGGAAATGTATTGAAAAGTAATATACTAATCCGTACTATCGATTAGATAAGAGCGCTTTGTTAATTTAGTAATAATTAGCAATACGCGATATAGTAGATTAATAAGGGTAATAAGGGTAGTAATGTAAGTTGGTAAATGAAGTAATACAATAAGGTATATACTAGAATAATCGCTAAGTTAGACTGGCTAGTTTGGGTGGCTAGTGTAGTACGAGGGTGGCTAGTACAACCCCTAAATGGGCGTAATGGGTTGAAATTTGGGAGTTTGGCGGGCGAGGTACGAGCGGGACTAGTAGTGGGTATGTAGGGTTAGGGTTGGACGTGGGAGAAGGGGTGGGGTATAGTCCGATAAGACGTTTCTAATAGTACGAGTAGACTACTTCTTAATTTATTAGGAATGTAAGCGAAAGGTAGGTTAAAGTAACTATAGTCGTGGCTATACGTAGGGGACGGTAAATTAGGGGTTAATTTAAAAATATATTAATAATTACCGACTATAATAAGATACGCTCCGTTGAACCTCTTTTATATTTATACAAACTCTATTCTTCTATTAACGAATATTATAGAACCTTATATTAATCTAACGCCTCGGCGCGGTACCGGATTATCCTTCCTACGAATCCGACCTAATATAGGCGTTATTATAAATAATCCTACGCTTTTATTAACGAAGGAGAGTAGCAGCCGCTGAGGTGCCTCTATATACGAGCTCTTAGCCTCCTAACACACTGCTAATAAAAGAGAAAGAGTTCAATAGTACCAAAAAATGAGAAGGCTTCGCCCTCGTCCGGAAGATTGGGAGGATATCCTTAATTCTAATAAAACTTAAACAACTAATAATCCAATATAGAAACAATAGGTAATTTTAAACGAAGATAACGATCTAAATAACTTTACTCTTACTAAGAAAAAGCCCTATAGCTGGATATTCTGGGGATCTTTTACTGGAAGGAGAAAAGGGCTTTGTTTCTTTTAGGAAAAGGAGTTTGGCGGAGTTACAACTCAAAAATATATTTTTTTTATCCTTCTAATAGTAGTAGCTTTTTACCGGGAGTATTCCTTTATTTTCCAGTACGATAATACTCCTTCTTATTCTACAAAGGAAACTCAGAAAGCATTGGAATTAATAGGAATCCCTAGGCTTAGTAAGAGGAGGTTTCTAGCCTACTCTCCGGATTTGGCACTAATCGAAAACGTTTAGTATTGGATAAAGTCATTTATCGAGGTTAAATACGATATTCAGTCTCTCAACCCATTATAGCTCAGAGCAGCTGTTCAAGAAGCGTGGGATCTCGTTCCGGAAGAATTTTTACTAAAGTTAGCTCATTCAATACCGGAAAGGATAGAAAAGATCATTGAGGCAAATGGAGATAGTATTGATTATTAGATAAAATAATAGATAAGAAGATAAGCTACAATAAATGCAGCTCTTTTTTATATTAATACCCTGGTTTATTGTACTGCCTTAGTGGCTTGGCTGGCGGCTTGGCTGTACCAAGCTAACCTTTTTTCCCCCTGCGGAGGTGTAACCGGCGACCTAGTCATTTAGCACTTCACCTGCTGGTTTCACTAGTCGCATATGCCAAAGATTGGGTGCTTCGCCGTGCTGTTCCTGCCCGTTGCTTGCTGCCGTCGGGTGTCACAGTCTGAACAATCTCACTGTTTGTGGACGGCTGGACATGGCCGACGTGTTTACGCAAACAAAGCAATAAGCATGACGCGACTTCACACGATATTCTAAGTCTAAGGAATAAGTCCAGCTCCAGGGTATCGCATCAGGGCCGCATCGCCGCTCCCCCCAACGGCCCCATCCCAGCGCTGTGGTACATGCTGTAAGGTACCTTTTGACACTCCATATTCTATGCCTGGAACTGCCCTGAACTCTGAAGCCTAAAGTGAAATTCCTGAAAGAGGGGAGTCCTGGGCTCATCTTCTTCACTTTTCCCGAATTCATCTCAGGCCAACTGGTACCTAGATATACGACAGTTTGGCTGACCACTCTCTTCACAAAGTGGTCTGGGACATCCAACATCACTGCGGGCTTCTCTCAGCCACCACCACCCTCACTTGATCACACCATCAACAACACCTGACTGCTCTTCTCTGTATGCATACAGCCTACTCGCCTGGCCATACTTGAACAAAAAAGTCGGAGGCTTAGAGGTCGTCTCGATTCTCAGGTCATCACCGCTGCAATGGAGCAAGGACAGGGAGTCCGAGGACCGGGTCTTGAGGATCGCTTGAGGACTATGATCCTCACCAACTCCAACGACCCAGAGCCCCAAGTGGAAAACGCCCCCAACGGTTCATCCCCTCCACAACCCCGGAAGCGTCTCAACCAGGCCCAGCGTCGTCAAATGTCCGCTCAGCTGAATATCGCCATTGACCCTCGTGCTCAACCACCTGATCCTGTCCGACCACAACAGGCCTTGAGAGGGTTTGCGCCTCAACCAGGACCTCCGGCTGGACATGAACCTGCGCAGCGACTTGGGCACCAAGTTGGACATCAGCCTGGGCGTCAACCGGCACCGTATGGTAATGGAGGCCGTTATAGAAATCAAAGACCTCAGTCAGGACCACAACCAACAGCTTATCACCACCAGCAGACCGGCCCTAGAGCCCACCAGCCAAACCCGCCTCATACGGGCAACCAGGTTCCGGTACAACTTCAGGGACATGCCCAACCCAGACACCACGCTTCCCGCTCTTACCACGGCCCAGGCCCCCAGCATTTGGACCGTAAAACCTGGCGACAGCCTCTCAGTTCCGGTCCTAATCCCGGCTCGGCCCACCACACTCCCCAAGGATCCTTCGATGGTCCAGTACCTAGAAATCCCAGAGGGGGTGCGCTTTGGAACCCCGGCAGGCAACCCCAGGTCCGGCCGGAACAGCTCAAGGCACAAACCGACATGCTTGAAGGTCTATGCGCAACCATCATCGCGAATGCCCAGATCGAATACGACGACATCGTTGAGAACGAGACTTTTCGCCAAAAGATCGAGGCACTTGCCCAGGCCGTCATCACCCAGTACGAACAATCTCAGAACGGCTTCCACGACTTTCCTCCCCAAAGCGTCCAGCTCCGGTGCTTCGGCAGTCTTGCTTCTGGGTTTGCTACCAAGGCTGCTGATATGGATTTGGGTCTCTTGTCGCCTCTCTCACGCCTGCAGCCAGATGCGCCAGGCTCTCCAATCCCCCGGCTGATTGAAAAGGCGTTTCTCGAAGTTGGACTTGCCGCTCGCCTGCTTTCAAAGACCAGAGTGCCCATCATCAAAGTCTGCGAAAAGCCGCCAAAGAGCTTGTACGATGATTTGGTGGAGGAGCACCTGAAGAGGGAGAGGGAGATGTCAGATAAGGGAGAAGACGAAGAGAACGACGATCCAGAGCATGATTTGGCCGAAGATGACGAACACGAGGCTGATGAGTCGGCAGGCCGTCATGCATCTGCAGGGGATAAGAAGCAGCAGAAGGAGCGGAAAGAGCACAAAGATGACACGCAAGATCAGCCGAAGAAAGAACGCCATGACGAAGAAGGCAACCCAGACGACAATGGTACAGAAAAGAAAGAGTTTAAACTCTACCAAGCCTTGAATCAAACCCTAAACTCCTATTACGGCACAACGAAAGGTTACTTGAGAAGTCTTGGCGGACGCGATTTAACCAACTCAACAATCAACAACTTTTCCCCAGCCGACTTCCAAAAGCTGAACCAAGTTTGCTTAGCATTCGTAGAGGGGCTCGAGGATCGCCAGCTGCGCGATCGTTTGTTCAGTTACAAGTCTCTGGATCGCTATGATCTTGAGTATCGACCCGACCAGCCTCGCACTCTCCAGGGCGTGTACACGCAAGTCGAGGGCGAGCAGATGGTGATGATGTGGGAGTCTCGTCAAATCACCGAAAAGGACGCGGACAAGGAAGCGCGAGGCCAGATGTGCGTAAACAGGTGGAAGACCCTGCAAGACCATCCCAACTGCAGCGCCGATCCTCTGGGGTATGACAGGGACCTCAAGCGGGCGGCTGATCAACTGCGAGTGCTCCCTTCCATCCAGCTCATGCTATTGTCGCAGGGGCAGTACGAGTCAACTGCGCAGTATTGCGCCAGGGCGAAGGAGTTGGTGGAAGACTTGGTTGGAAATGACACGGCTGATGAAAGGAGAGAGGCCATTACCCTCATCTCGCGCCGCTACATCGACGGCATCAAAGACGAGGCCATACGGGAGGCAGTCAAGGAATTCGCGGAAAGTGTTGGATATTCCAATTTCCACGCGATTGGAAAGAGACACATGAGCTACCACCTCGCTCATGACCTGGAGCATTGTCTCGGGAGAAATCTCTATCCTAAGGATACGGAAGACAAAATCAGCTCGTACATCGCTTTCCTCCGGGGACCTATAGTGAAGTCCCCGGTCGAGCCCTTCGAGTGCGGCTTCGAGACCGCTCTGTCCCCAGACCTCATCGAAACCATTTCCCAGATCCGCTCAATCGGCGACCCATCAACCATGGGCCCTAACCAACCCCGCGATCCCTACCGCGACCGCTTCGAGTTTCCCAAGTCCGGTGTAGGCATCCAGTGCGACATCAACTTCTCCGCCCACCTTGCCATGCACAATACTCACCTTCTTCGCTGCTACTCGTCCTGCGACCCGCGCGTCCGGCCCATGGTTCTCTTCGTCAAGCACTGGGCCAAGGTTCGCGGCATCAACTCCCCTTACCGCGGCACCCTCAGCAGCTACGGCTATGTTATGATGGTGCTACATTACCTAATCAATGTCGTCAAGCCCTTCGTCTGCCCAAACCTGCAACAACTCGCCCCACCTCTCCCGCCTGACCTCACGCCAGAGCAGCTCAACGACGTAGCCTTTTGCAAAGGTAAGAACGTGCATTTCTGGCGCGATGACCAGGAGATCCAGCGTCTGGCGGCCATGGGCATGATCAACCAGAACCGGGACTCCATCGGCCATCTCCTCCGTGGGTTCTTCGAGTACTATGCCCAAAATGGCTCATTGTCTACGTTGCCCGGCAGAGGCTTCGATTGGGGCAGGGATGTGATCAGCCTTCGCACGCAGGGCGGAATTCTCAGTAAGCAAGAAAAGGGGTGGACAGGCGCTAAGACGGTGTTGGAGTCGACGCCGGGTGTGCCGTCCACCGTTGCCCCGTCGGCGCAGCAGCCACAACAACCACAGCAACAAACAGCTGCTCCTCTTGCCGGTCCTTCTCCTGGTATGGCACCTCCGCCTGGTCTCGCCCCTCCGCCAGGCTTCCCGGCACATTCCCCTGTCCCTGCCCCTGCCCCTCCCGCTCCTACGACCGAAGAACCCACCCCGACAGGCCCTTTTACCGAGCAACATCAACAGCCGAAACCGGATGTGGAACTCAAAGAAGTCCGCTACCGCTACCTCTTTGCCATCGAGGACCCCTTCGAGCTCGACCACAATGTCGCCCGCACTGTCACGCACAGCGGCATCGTCGCTATTCGGGACGAGTTCAGGAGGGCTTGGAGAATCATTAGGAATGCTGGGAGGCTGCAGGGACAAGGACAGGGATTCCAGGGACATCAAGGACATCAGATTGGAAGTGGAGAGATGCCAGTGCCTGAAGAGGAAAACTTACTGGAGGATGTGCTGGAGGCTGGAAAGAAGAAGCAGAGGGAGGAGTTTGATGAGTTGTTGGATGGGCTACATGGAAGGGTTTGGAGAGGAGAGGCTGTTGGGGAAGCTCGGAAGGAGGAGGGTGGTGGTGGTGGTGGTGGTGGTGGTGGTGGTGGTGGTGATGCTTGATGGTGTATTTACAACGATTGATGGAGGGTGTGTTATGAATGTTTGATGTTGTCCATATTTAGTGGTTCATGTGGATAATTAAAAACTTGTTTGTTCTTGCTTGATTGTTTGAAGTACATGATAGATGAAAAGCGGTACATGCTCAACAAAAACTCTGAGGTATGATAGAAATGGAGTTCGGACACAAAAAATGAGAGAGGAGGAAATTGAAAAGCATATCGAACTTGTAAGATGGCGTGTTCCTCCCGGTCTTTCTGATTTAAAGTCATTCTTGCTTCAGTTTGCCGAAGAAGAGATGTGACAGGCCGGGACAAACGCCGAGAAGGAGAATCGGTAGCAGTGGAAGGAGACTGGGTAGTGATTGTTCTTGCCCTCAAAAGGAACTTGCTCATCGTACCTTGAGGGTATCCCTGTCAATTTTGGTCAAGTCCATTCCTCCTTACCTACCCAATCCACTTTTTGCCGTTTCTTTGAAGGGATATATCTTTCCTGTGATGGCAAGTGCCACCATTTAACCTGCTCTGACTGCCAGCAGGAAAAATCGTGCATCAGTGGTCCTGAACTACCCGTTCTTTTCCCTTTTCCACGTCATTGTTAAATTTGATCCCCTTTCATCTTTTACCACGACAACAAACTCCGTTCAGTTAGTCGAAAACTGCGGCGATATTTTGAGGCTGATGGATGTCCAAGATGTATCCGTTTCTCAACATTGTTAACATCAAGGTGCACCTGAACTTGAATCCACCACGGCGGCGAATATGGTCACTACGCTATTACTCTTTGCGCAGGTGAGGAACATTCTAGCGGAGTGGAAGGAGCGATGTGTCCATAATCGGACCTATCCTCAGCCATCTTCTGTTGGGTGCTTAACTTGGAAGGCGAATGGTGCCTTGAACCCGAGATAATGGCTGGCTGTTGAGGAAGGAGGGACTTGCAGTAGGTTCATTTTCTTTTTCTTCAGATCAACTGGACCGACCTTGTGTTCTGGGAGGGGGCTTGCAGTACGTAAACTATCGCCCATAGAAGCGTTTTTGTGGCTACAAGGCAGATCTCAAGCAGCTCAGGACGGACGGTTGAATTTGTCCTCTCGAAGCCGCGGCGTGACGTTACCCCTTCGTATGAACGGGAAGGTAAGTTTCCATGATTCACCGATTACTTATATCTAGGACTAGTAAATCTGCTCGGTTCTAAGAGAGTTACCATCAAGTACGAACTTCAATCGGAAACCAGCGCGAGGTTCAGCCACAATATCATTCACTTTGAAGATTTCGAGGAGTGTGTTGACGATCCGGTAACATCGCCCGAGATATCTCTTCTCCATCATCTGCACTCTACATTTCCTCCTGACCCCCTGTGAAGAGACAACGCCTAGGAAACTTCTTTCTCTTGCTAACAGCTAACTAGAGTGTTGGGTCTGATATATCGCTGCCATGCTCATCAGCTTCCAGCGCCGTGGGCATGGAGGGAGGGCCTTTCGGCAGCAAGTGTTTAGCAGGCTCTTCTCTCTTGATAAAACAAGTAATCATACCTCTACCCTTACTTCCCGAAATTATTTGGACTTTTTTTCCTTATAAGCAGTGCCTTTTCTCCATTGATCCGTTTCCCTCTTCTTCTTCTGTACTCCGCTTTGCTTCATTCAGTCTCAATATTTTCCTCTTGAGGTAATCGTTCAATCCTGATGAGATGGTGTTTGGCTGGATCATGATAATGTCAAGGAGAAAGATCGCCTACCCGCAGTTACGGACCCATCACTGGCACTTATCTGGGACTTGTGGGATTGAATAGGATACGACGGCGTGAAAAGAGGAAAGTGTCTAACTTGGTGTTTGAAGCGCGCAAGATACTTCATCTGATACCTGGTACTTTTCGTTTGCGTTTGGGGCCTCTTCATTTCATCTCAATTCTTCATTCACTCGTACATTTCTTCTTGTACATTCTCCTCGCCGCCCATTCTTTTTCAATCTTCCAACCCTCATGATCTCTTGTTTTCACTACTCTATCAAGTCCTCCAACTCACACAGGAACCACTGATCATCATCACCAATATCTCCGTTTCTAACGACATCATTCAAAGTCCATATCATGGGCGCCGATATACGCGAAGCTTGATACTTGGTAATGGTCACAAAAGTGAGCTTTGTGGTAACTGATCTGCTAACAATCTGGCGCAGTTGATTGCCAAAAGTTCAGTCGCCGATCGTCAGCCTCTCAGATATCCATCACCATGCCTTCCTACCCCCAAACCCCCAAGCCTCTGCTGTTCCGTCTTCCGCTCGAGGTCAGGCTCATGATCTATCGCCACGCTTGGAAGGTTGATCCCAAGCATCACACAATCAAGGGCTCTCGTCAACTGATGGAGTCCTACTTGAAGCAACAGCTTACAGCAATTGGGAGGTTGGGCGCCATCTGCCAGCAAATGCGGACCGAAGCCTTCGATGAATATTTCCACCATGCTCAAGCTTATCTACGGTGGGCAACTTACGGTAGTGGTTCCAGAACGCTACATAATCGTTCTTACAAAGAACTCCTCTTAAGCTCTCCCTTACTCATGGCTCATCTGAGACACGTGAGCTTCCACTGGTCCGGTGAGAATGCCCACAGAAAGAAAGAAGTCTCACCCACCCAAGCAGTACACTGGCTACATTGTCTTAAGCAGCTCAGAACGCTTGATCTCGTTATTTCACATGTACACGTGGGGTACTTCTACCACGGCTACAGCTATAAGCAAAAGCAGGTGTTACTGAGCTTGGCAAATTTACGCGGACTAAAGAAGGTGACCATCAAGCATGAAGACAATGGCTCCTGGCTTGGCAACCCAGAAAATTCAAGCTCCCGATTGCACAATTGCGACCTGTGTCGAAAGTTTAAGGAGGAGTTTGAGAATCTAGTGATGACACTGCCCAAGGTATTTCCCTTCTTTTCTATCTTGTTCGCATTCAGAACAGCTTTCCCCCTTGCTGCTTTTGAAATGAGTGTCCATGGTCGAAGTAGTCTACCACAGAGTCTGACAGCGTATTTAGGACGCCGAACCTCCCTGCCAGGCCATCAAAGAACACCTGGGGTGCCTCAACCCTCGTTGGATAAAAACAAAGTCCGACAGAATTTAGTAATGGCATTACCAGGTCACCCAGGTGAGTGTTCATGGGCCCTTTCCATGCTAGCTCCTTGACAGCCGCTGATATATGGTTCTTTTGGCGCACAGCTTCAGGGTCCTTTCCCTGATCCAATTCGGGCCATGAGCCTTTTTGCTCAATGACCACTTTGCTATCCAATCGAAATTTCGGAATCTCATTATTTCCGAGGAATCATTGCTTTTTCAGGTCACGATAGGAGGATTAGATGATCTGTTCAACCCGTCGTCTGTTGTTGGTGCATTCACACACAAGCGGCTTCTTCAGGAAATCTGGGTAATCACTTCAACAGATCAGCTGGTATGGTACCCTTGTTTTGGGACTCAGGGACAGTCATTGATCAGGATGGGATTCAGGTCGGGGGATATAAGAGACGAAGAAAGCGAATTAAGCGCGGTAGATCACAGAATGATATGTAAACCAGCGAAACCCATCTTCCTTCCGATATATATTCTATAGGATGTTTTGCCTCCTTCAGTTCTTCCTTCCTATTTTGCGATCATCACTCCTTTTCTCTCACCTCAAGCGTTCTCTGCACACCCACAAACTACAACCTCCCCAAACAGCTGGCCGCCACGTCTTCATCGCACCAAAACACCAAGCCTTTCCCATTTCTACGGCTTCCCGCCGGAATAAGGAACCAGGTTTTTCGCGAAATGTGGACAATCAATCCACCAGCTCCTACCTACAGCCACGGGACACATGCTTGAACGAAAGATGTCGTTTGCCTCAAGGGACACATCTGGTCAATGCGAGTTTTAGGCCGAGTTCGCTGACAGTTCAGGACCGAGATCTTTTACGATTAGTCCACGTCACACATGGCTATATACGATTCCACTCCAGGTGTGATCGGAAGCACTGGAACATCATCCAAAAGTCCCGTCTGAAAAAATACTGAGTGGTGTCAATTCTGCAAAGTGCAGGTGACATGCCCATTGAGGTAGCTGACAGTAAAATAACACAGCCGAGACTTTGAGGACTGGCGTTGGCAATGTCGAGACCAGGCGCAACCCTTTTTACCGATTAGTAATGAGCAGATGCTTTACACACCTACACCGACTCGCGAAGTGTTCAATGCCACAAGAAGTCTTCGGTGTCAAGTTCATTGCACATGGGTAGTGGAAAATTATGGCTTGACTGCTGGTCTCAAACCATCTGAAAGTAGGAGCTTCGCGCAGGGAGTACATGATCACAGTTGCTGATACAAAAGGGAAGGATTGGATTTCCAGAGACAGAAAAAAGGAAAGAAAAAAAAAGTGGGAGAACATAAGAGAACTCACCCGTGAATCGAACGCGTTACAGCAGCAGCTTTGGAACGGGTCCCGATCCGTTCCAAATCCGTAACCGCTATACCATCCGACCCAGGGGCCCGGCTTGTCCAGTCCTCTTGGTGATGGAATTTGGCGCGGTAGAAGTAGATTATCTACCCTCTGACACTGTAGAGGGAAAGTGATTGGTTATGCTGAAGGGTTCCTATCAGAGCACACGGCTCGGGACCGAGTGTTGGTGGTGGGATGAAAATTGGGATGGAAGGTTGAGGGGTCGGGCGGGCAGTCTTAGGCTTTGGGGGTGTTCACATTTCACTTGGAACTGGAAGTCACGATGGCAACGCACTTTCTTGGTTGGTGAAAGAGCAAGAGGGGGCGTCACCCTTAGGAGGAGTTTTGAAAGGGACTGCTGAAGCTTTTTTTTGTACAAGAGCTACTTGGTCGCTTTCTTAGTATCTTTAACTCGCCTATTGTCATGTCATATGCTCATGGGTTTTGACATTCCATTTTATGGCTACAGGGTAGGTATCCAATGCATCAGAATGACGTTCAGGGTTCGGTGGCGATAATATCAAGGAAATTTGGGAAGGGAACAATACAGAAGACCAGAGGTTCTCACACATTGTGCAACAGTCTACAGCTAGTTCGTGGAGGTGCGTGAATACCAGGCCGTTGTGCCCATCCCAGTACTTGGGTAGGGTCGGGTCCGGGTCTCCTGGTCTCCCTTTTCTTCCGATCACCAATATTTGCCACACGTACACACGCATCATCTTTTCGGCGCCCTATTTCTAGTGCTTTCTTTGGATGAAGTGTATTCCAGATGTATCAGGAATCTCTTTGAGCGAAGTTGAATGTTCTTCGCAAGATGTTTGTTTCGATGGTTTTTGCAGAGGTTGCTTTGCACAATGTGGCTGGGGGTCGTGGTGATAGGTGCCTGGTGATGGTGTCTATCCTTTCCACGTTTCCTACTTTATTTCGCCTCCATCTACAGCAAGGATCGGAGCATCTGTTTTGATATTCCAGAAAAATTAGGTATGATATGTAAGCATACTGCTAGGAAACGTGTTGCCTCCCCGAAGCATGGTAAATTCGATCCTTCTACTTCTAGTGCCTTGCATTTCCCACCTAGAGGTATCTGTTCAAGTGCACTGTAGCATGGAGACATCTGAAACACCGTCTTCCACACAATTTCTGGCGGGTATGAATGTTTCCATATGCTTACAAACTATGCCTGATTTCCCTGGAACATAGAAACGGATGCCCCGGGTCTTTGCGGTATGTACTTCTCACCCCATCTCTGAACCGGCTTCCGATTTTCTACCATTTCTCCATTTTGTATTGCACAGTTGTCACAGCGTAGTAGGGTTTGGATACCTTGAATGTGCAAAGGCTTTACTACCTTAATTGCTAACTTGGACTAAAGACAAGAAGTCAAAGAAGAAAAGGGAAATTACAGAAAGGTAGTTTATAGATGGGTAGGGAGTACAGAGTGTCCCGCGACTCTGTAAAAGTTTCGAAGCCAAACCTACAACGCAAACCTGAACCTGAACCTGAACCTGAACCTGAACTATTGTCGTGAATAGAAGCCATCTTGCGGATGGAAGTCACTGGTGAATGAGATTTGGAGCTCGCTCCTCGCGTACATAAAGACCTCGCATCTTCGTTTTCCAACTTCCTTGGTTCAGCGTCCAAGGCCAAGGTAGAAGCGACGTGGGACTTGACCAAAGGTATTGGGTCATCAGTATTTAAGAAGAAACTGACATACTAACGCTCTGATTCAGTTGATACTTGCCCCCTGACGCCCCAAACGACAGCTCTCTTGTAACATGTCTTCTTCTGACAAGGCCTGGAAGATCTCCCTTAAGGCGGCCGGAGATGGCAACAAACCCGCATCCAAGCTTCCGTTCTTCCGATTTCCGCCCGAGATCCGATTCATCATCTACCGCATGGCATGGAGCGTCGACCCAAAGCCATACAGGATCAAGAGGAGCGGTCAGTTGCGAATTGCTTATTTGAAGAAGCAGCTCTCTTTTGTGGTAAAAATGGGTGCCGTGTCTCACCAGATGAGGGTTGAAGCCTATTCCGAGTTCTTTCACCGCACCCAAGCGTATTTCCGCTGGAACACGCAGATGCAGGGCTACTCATGGCACAATGTCCAGGTCATGGCCAAGATGCAGAGTAGCTTTCTGCTCAAGTACCATTTGCAGCATGTTAGCCTATACTGGCCCGAGAATTATGAGCATCGAATTACGACCCTGAGATGGTTGGAAGGACTCAAGCAGCTCAAGACGTTGAAGATTATCCTCTCCAATGGGCCTGACTTGGAAAACAGGAAGGGCGCGCATTACTCCGTCAATGCTATGCGCCGTCTGGCTGTCAGTTTGGCTCGACGCAATGCCAACTCAGAAAAGCCCTTCGTCACATTCGTGGCCGACAGGCTAGAACTCGTTAATCTCTGGAACAGTGTCGACTGGTTCCGCGCGTTGGTGGAGGGCCTCGCGAAGCCTGTACGTTAAAATTTACTCTTCCTTTTTACCTTTAAGAACACATTTTCCTTCTTCTAGGGCAAACCATCTTTCTCCGCACTTCATCTGCGTTGCATGGTTGCGACAAAGAATCTTTACCAGAATAATGGTCGATGCTAACAACAACAACAAAACAGGACGCAGAGCCACCTCACCAAATTATCGAACAGCATCTTGGCTGTCTCAATCCCCTGTGGGCTAGATCACTAGCGTTCAGGATCTAGACGCAACATCACGTTGCTGGGGATCACTAACCTATTTTATGGCATGTTCTCGACCATGGGTAATCTCTCGGGTCATGCCATACTACCTTACCTATACTGGAAGGTACGCGCCTGTGCGGAGGTGAAAGCGTTTGCTTCAAGCAAAGTGCCAACCTCGGCGATGGAAAGGTCTCGAAAATCGGGAGAATGGATTGGGCCACAAGAGTTCAAAATACGACCGATGTTTGCATGAGGATTGGGTTCTTGGGAAAGTCATAGGGAAGGAGTGTCTTGGGAGTGGTTGCAGATCCGCTTGGCAAGTAATGTCGGTAGGGAAGGAGGAGGGTTCCCGTCTGGTTTAATGCAGGACATTCCCATAGCACCTCCTCCTCCATGTCGCAATCTGGACTCCCGGCAATCACCTCTTACACCTCGAACTACCTCTAGAAGTCATCATCATATTCAGCTATTCATTGTGCCCATATTCGCACAGCGTTTCCACGCATCACCGGTGATGGCCAGCCACTGCTCTTGAAAGACGGCCGCAGGCAAAGAACTGGCAGTCTATACAATGAACACCACAGAGTCAACTCGCGTTTTTCTTTCAATCTTTGTTTTCTTGCTTCCACAACCGATATCTATCAGAGCTTGAATGTTTTTTTTTTTAAGGCGTTGTTGGTTGTGCCTTGCCTTGCAGGTGACGCCCATGCACTCACTGCCCTAGGCTTGCCTTCCCGGGAACTCTCGCGGCGTCCAGTGTGACTCTTCGCCTTTCCCAGGCTTCCCTCTGTTTTTCCTCTTCCATCAATGCTGCTGATCAAGTACTGACTCAAGCCTACGTAGTTGTTCCGTCGTCGTCTTTCTTCCAGCTTCATCAGTTACCTGCCCTCCTTCCTCTCAAATCGTTCGAGACTGGGACAGTACAGTTTCGTTGGTATTCTGTCTCTTCTCAGAGACCAGCGCCTTTCTCTACATCCGGT